CTGTGTCACGGATGACAGCCAGATACTACAATGCTGAAAACATTTATAAAAGGACAATGTCACCTCCTAACTACAAGTTTCTCCTTTTGCTTTCCTTAAGTTTAGTCCTTCAGACACAATTAAATATATTTATATCACACTAATTTAGGTTTTGGAGAAATATTTTTGTGATTTTATGTTGCCTGTAAAGCTCAATTATCCTTGACAATTTGAAAAATCCCATATGTATGTAATAAGATGTTATTTATATTCAGTGTCTGCCAAGGCATGGAGAAAGTAGACACTCCCTTTCAAACTAAGGCTACATTGTCAGATTTGTAAAATGGAGATGATAGAAAACTTGCTTTGTAAGCCTGAACTGATCATGGACTTCTGCCTGTAGAAGAGTTTAAGGAGCCAAGAAGTGGATTATTTGTAGAAAGCTGCTGGTTTACCATGTGTTTCATCTCCCTTCAAAAGAGTAACGCTTGGTACCATCAAAAATAATTTCAGTAGTTAAGAACATGATGTTCTATAAATATAGAATGTACTTGTTTCACAGTTTATTTAACTCATTATGGGAGGAAGCACCAGAATCATAAAGCTGGTTCAGAAAAATCTGATAGGCTGACTATATACAGACATTGACAAAAAATATTGGTATGTGATTTCTAGGTTAAACACAAAACTGGTTAATGTACTACAGGGCAATAAAACCCCAACCCCTGAGATTATTTTATCTAAAGGACAGCAATTATTTGCATATCTATGATATGAAAGATGTAGATGAAGTAAAGCCTGCCAATTAACATATAACATTACAGTTATATGTAAAGTTTTAAAGCCTTATGAATAGTATTTGATAATCACAAAAAGCTACATTTTCCAAGAGAATAAAGTAATCTTGAGTGGGCTCTTAGAGTGGGCATTGAAAAGACATTCCTTGTCTTATTTCTATGTTTTGGACAATGTTAGTTACTAGTCTCTGACTGTCATTTCAAGCCTGGTAAGACAAACATTAGTGGATCCACAGCTGGGGACACAGTGGGCAAGTTTTTGACTCCTATCTGAGGAGTCAGAAGTGCAATTGTTAAGCTGGCTGGCTGCTGGTCTATGAGCCAGAGAGGTGACAATGTCGTCTTTCCTGCACTCCCACAGCAGGCAGGGCAAAGTACATAAGAGCATTTTTTTTATAGGTCAGGCATGGAATGTGCAAAAATGTAACAGAAAGTGGGTCATTTAAAATTCTGTCTGGGAGGACCATTGAGACCCTGCAGAGAGAAGGGAAAACAATCACTTGACGACTAGAGGCTCAGTAAGCAAAGGTCTGAAGAGAATACACCACCTGCATCTACAGGAATGCAGGTAAGAGGTCCCTAGTTGATGGGGGGCAGGTGGCCTCTGGAGAATGAACAGCTTTGCCGATGTAAGAATGTCCAAACTTCTAGAGAATTTTCATAAAAATGTATTTGAGTCAAACAGGACATGTCTGGAAGCAAGATCTCAATAGACGGAGAAAAATGCATTTAGAATGGTGATTTGCAGCTTCTCTTATGCATTTGGAATTAAGGAGGAACCACAAGGAAGATTACGTGAAGGCAGGAGAAAGCATGGTGAGGATGGGATGACAGGATAGTTCAGATTATGTGCTCTCTTGAGAGCAGTCTTGCTTTAGAAGGAGGGGTCTGAAAAGAGGCATTTCAAAAGCCTTTGTTAACCTAGATGCACAGAAACAATGGACAGAGCTTGCTTACGGCAAAGATAAACTTATATTAAAAAAATTGTATGCCTGGGGCATGACTCCCCACCATGACCTGTCCAGTTTGGAATTGATGATCAGGTCCCCCTGGGAGGTTACTTTCTGTGGAGCCCCTTTTTCTTCCACAGCTTTAAACAGCTCCCAGGAGGAGTACCAGTCAAGTTAGGACTTTGATGCTTTAATCCTGATCCTTTCCTGTGATCTTAATGTAGGCAATTAAGACTAAAGCAAGAATGAGGAATTGAAACATAAGCCTTTCTTCACATGTCCTTGATTTTAGGCTTGCCTGCAGGAAGCAGCCCAACCACTGCAAAAGGAAACAAACAGACACACAAAAAACATTGTGCTAAATCACAGGCAGTTTTGACAATTATTTGGGACTGGAAATTTTTCTTCTCATCTGAGAACTTTTATTACCTGTGAGTGATCAGAACAGTCATGAGGCCTGCCACAGTTTTCCTACAGGCAGCAGCTGGCCTACCAAGTACAACATAAGGTTATTTGAGTTTGTGTGTGTGTGTGTGAGAGAGAGAGAGAGACAGAGAGAGACAGAGAGACAGAGAGAGAGAGAGAGACAGAGAGAGAATCTTTTTAAGCATGACCTTGCAGCTATCCTTTGAATTCAATAAGTCTGTGCTCTCAATTTCTTCCCTGTGGGTAACTTTTATCTCTTTAAATTAAATATCCTTAGTTCAGAAATCTTGCATTCAAATCTTGTCTTCTCACTGGCACAATGAACCATGAATTTGCAAAAACCCTCAGGAATACTGTGCTTCTGATATAGACATGGTAAAGTATTTGCAGAATTGCTGGTGTGTCAGTTAAATGCTCTCTGCTTCAGGATATTGACTCTCTAGAGGTGTCATTGTTTTTAAATGTTTCATTTCATTTTGTCACTAATCATGGTTCTGAAAGGCAAACACTTCATATTTTTCATTTTACTATGTAACATGGAATGGACTTAGATTTTGGCTCTGCTTTGTTTTGCATAAATGTGCTTGAGCTAAGATATTCTCCTAAATATAAAAGTAAGATAATGTTCTTTTAATGCTTTTGAACTGTACCACGATGTTTTATATGTTATTTTTACAAGTTTAATTTTACTATTGTACCAATAAATGCATTTTGAGGATTATTTTCTGAAGTAAAAATAGTGCTGTACATAAGTGATTAGAGGTTTTATGTAAAATACTACTCTTGATTAGGTCAGAAGTGAAGTTTGTTTACGTTCCCTCTCTGGAATATTTCTTTCCCTGACTGCCCACGTCTTTCTCCCTGCCTGCATTCAGAGACTTCCCTGACTACCTCACCTAAGTTTGAACTCTTAATTATTTTCAATTTCTTTGGATTGCCCTGTCTTTAAAGCACCTGACATATATTTGTATGTTTGTTTATTGTCTCTTTGCCCCCATTAAAATGTAAGTTTGACAAGTGGAGTCTCAATAAATACTTGTTGAATAAATAAATGATTGGATGAATGAATGGATGCACGCTGAAAATACTTTCCTTGGTTATTTAAAGAGCACAGCTGTCTGGGAAACACAGTCCTGCACAAGAAACTTCTAGTTGTATTACACATCCATTTGAAGCTTGTCATTGTGTTGGATTTAAAGTAAGGACTTCGTGAATTTATACCGGGAGCACTAAGATAACAGCCACCATAGTCACACTACCACCACCTTTTTAAACCATTTTTTAAGTGCCTACTATGGGCCTGGCTTTGTGCTGAAGTCTTACTATACATTGTTTCATTTATTCTTCCATAGTGTATCATATATGGACTAAGTGTAGGGTTACCAATTAAACTGGGTTTTATAACTTGCTCAAGGTCACACAGCAGGTGAATTATGGCAGGACCGGGACTCAAACTCAGGTCTGCCCTAATTTCAAAGTTCAGAGTCATAGCCACGGACTATCCTTGTCTTTTTTTATCTATGCTGATTATAATCTTGTACAATTGAATCTCTCAATGTAAAACATTAAACGTGTTCTTAAATGAGTATGGCAGGCACATTAACGTGGAAAGCAATGGTGCAAGGGTTAGTATCTTAACTACAAATATTGATATTATTAGTCCAGTAACGAGAGAGTGTCAATGTGGATAAGGACAGGTGTTTTTTGACTGACTGACTGCAGTCAGTCACACATCCCACCTACAGAATATAAATACAACGATTAAAAACTACAGCACTATTTACTATAGCCAAGATGAAGAGGCAACCTAAATGCCCATCTATAGACAACTGGATAAAGAAAAAGTGGTACACATATACAACAGAATATTATTCGACCTTAAAAGAGAATCAAATCTTACCAGTTGTGACAACATGGATGAACCTAGAGGGTATTGTGCTAAGTGAAATAAGTCAGACTGAGAAAGATAAACACCATATGATCTCACTTATATGTAGAATATAAAGAACAAAATAAATGAACAAATAAAAAAGAAACAGACTCATAGATACATAGAACAAAATGATAGTTGTCAGAGAGGAGGAGGATTGAGGGAATGGGTGAAAAAGGTGAGAAAAAAACCCCACAATTACTAAAAACAAACAAAGAACACTACTTCGTATTTAGGAAGCCAAAAATAAGTTCACCACAGGAGACTCTCTGTTTGAAAAAAAAAAAAGTTTTAGAAGTGTGGGTTGATTTTGTTTATCTCTATCTATCTATCTATCTATCTATCTCTCTATCTATCTATCTCACATATACCCCAATATATTTGGTACAAAATAATAAGAGTTCTGAGTTTGCCAAGAAACCTAGGTTTTAGCCTTGACTTTCTCTATTGTGACCTTTGATAAGCCATTGAACAGGGCATATATGTGGAACTTCTGAGCCGCTTGGGTTAGTTCTTTTTGGGTCTGCCCTCTCTTAGCTTTGTAATTTTGGGTTGTTATTCAAAGCTTCTGTGCTTTAGTTTTCTTAGATATAAATTGGGCTGTTATGAGAATGAATTAGATGTTACAAATCGACCTCTTAGAATAGTGCTTGGAATGCGGTAGGGACTCAGTAAGTGTTAGCCAACTGCTGTCTCCTCCAGGAGAACGCCTCCCTCCATGGGTCTGCTGCGTTTCCCAGCCCTTTCTTTTTCTTTCTTTCTTTTTTTTTTTCCCCCAGCCCTTTCCTTCCCTCCTTCACTCTCTCTCCTCGCCTCTTGGTAGGGCTCCCTTGCTCCCTCTGCGGGCCGACAGTGGCAGAAGCAAGCGTTCTGGTTGCTATGGGTACCGAGGTAACGCGGTAACCATGGAGACCAAAGCCGGAAGCTTTGGGCAGCTGGTTGGGGCCCGCGGTGGTGATGCTGCAGGCTGGGGTCTCCAGGTAAGCCGGCTAGCTGCGGATGGCGGCGGCGGATGCGGGGGCGCGGAGTCGGCCCAGTGAAACAGCCCGTGGGGTCTGGGCAGAGAGGAGCCGGGTGGGACGGCGGGAGAGGAGGCAGGGCTCCGAAGGGAGCTGGGGGACCCCGGGGCCGCTGGTGTTTGACGAGCCCCTGACGTGTGCCCAACACAGTGCCAGGCCCGCGGCGCTGCAAGACATGGCCTTGACCTCAGGAGTTGCAAGTTTTTTCTATAAACAAACGACTTCCCGGCCCATGGTGCTAGTGGAGGCCTGAACCGAGGGTGAACCACAGACAGTGAAAGCGGGCCTTGAGGAAATGTACCCCTTCTACAACCCGACCTTTTTAAATGCTAGCCTCTTATCCTTTGAAGTTATTTGCGCCTTATGAAAAATTTGGTGCCCTGAAAAACATTATCACACCCACTTTTGTAGCCTCCTTTCTGCCTGCATGGCCACATGCACCCACTTCATTCTAGAAGTAAGTACACTCCTCCCATGTAAGGGTCGCAGAGAGGGGGTGCCAGATTCCCGAGAAATCGAGAAATCGGAAGCTGTGGACCGTCTTCCTTCTTTCCTAAATCAGCATTAGAGGTGCTCATTCAGTTATGTATTTTTTTTTGTACCCTGACTTTTTAAATCCATAGTTAGTAAGTCGCAAAAAATATATGTCATATCAAGTTGAAGCTTCAACAAGATTTAAACTATGGAAACTATGCTAATGGAAAATGAAAAAAAGAAATAAAAAAGCAAAAACAAAACCCTCTACCTCTAATACCTCTAATACCTTATTTTAGAGCAGCGGTTCTCAACCTGTAGGTCGCGACCCCTTTGGGGGGTCGAATGACCCTTTCACAGGGGTCGCCAGGTACTCGTATGTGGGCGTGTCTGCATGTGGGCCTGGAGACGGATAGAGGAGTGGTGTCTCGGTTCCTAAGACCATCGAAAATATGTTTTCCGATGGTCTTAGGCGACCCCTGTGAAAGGCTGAGAACTGCTGTTTTAGAGGCTACATGGAGGCCTGACCTGACCTACCATAATATTGCTACTTGTATTACAAATTCATTATTTGAAAGAACCTGTGTTTATTTCCTTCAAAACAATACTTTCCGCACTTATTTTATTTGCTTTTTCATTTTTTCCTACTTCCTTCACCAGAGTGTACATTCAGTGAAGATTGGCGCTCTACCTGTCTGGTCCAGCTGGTTGCTCAGTGCTTAACCTGATGACACCTGGCACACAAGAGGTATTCAATGGATATTTGTTGAAAGTCTGGTTGGGTACTTGGAAAAAAGAAAACAAGAAGAGTTGTTGAAATGGAAAAGTGGATGATGTGTTTGTTTACATTTTTTTAAATATGTGCAATGAATTCAAAGCCATAGGAAAAAAATTAAAACTCAGCTCATTATTATTGGCAGTACACTATTTGTAGGCCCTCTACTAATTTTTGGGGATTCAAAGATCAATGGTAGGACTGCCCTCAAATATTTGAGACACTTGGGGAAACAACACCTATATAAGCAAAGCAACAACAACAAAAAATAACGTAAGGCAGCACGTAATAGCAAATGAGTGTAATACACAGAATGTCCTTATAGGAGAAACTCACTTTTGGTGGAAGAAATTTTCATGGTAGAGATGTCCTTCACACTGAGCATTGAATAGAATAAAACTTGGCAAGCAGAGTAGTGGAAAATAAAGCATGAGGCTTAGGAAGATTGGGATGCGTAATGGAGGATCTTAAGTACCTAGCGAACAAGGGGTGTTATTTTTCTTATAGGGTATGAGGAACTATACAGAGACAAAAAATTTGTGACCTCATATTATGTGGGAGCAATATGACACCAAAACGATTTTCAATGGTATTTCAATTTATTGCTGTAAAATTTAGAAAACGTTTGATGTCAAACATTTCTTTCTGTAAATTTCCATTTCAGTACAGGTTAAAGTATATTAAAGGGGGAAGAATCTGAATGATATGAATTAATCATTTTAAGCATATAGAACCATATTTAGATTTCAAGTCTTAAGAAGAGCTAACAGGATGGGAATAAAATTGTGATTTCTGGCTTTGTCACCAATCTTGGGCAAATGCCTTAATTTTCCCATCCGTGAGGTATTCACAAGTGACTGCCTAGAGTAATAGTGGATTCTAGACAAATGAGTGGACTAGATTAAATATATGAAAGGGCTTAGGTTTCTGAAAGGTATGATTTATAAATTTAATACTTTCCTTGTTATTTGTAATCATATAAAGCTTTTAATTGTACAGAATTAATAATTGTATATTGCTCTACACCTATGCCTTTCAAACTTGTTTTTAAGCTATAGAAAAGTTTCTTTATATTAAATCTGACCTAGAGGCTCATTATGTTAAATAGATGACATTGGGGAAGCTGTGGGTAAAGCAGAACTTTTGCACCTCCTCTCGTTTCCTTCTCAAGTTACTTTCAAGACTTCCCCTTCCCTGGTATCTAAAGGCAACTCTCTCTGTTGTTCTCTAGGGAACTTGGAATGTAAAAAACCGGTGACTCGAGTACCATTTAGTGCCCTGAAGCAGTGTTTAATTATCAGATAGGTGGATTGGCTGAAAGATTGAGTGCCATTTGAATCAATACCGGATTTTCTTTCAGGGCCTGTGTAGGAGAAAATGGCATATACTTATCTACTGGGCCACTCAAGCACAAGATAATATGCTAGGGATTATGTATTATCAGTTTTTTCCTTAGATTAAAAAATATATGAAAATCATATATATATATAAACATATTATATATATATAATATATTTAGAATGAAGATATCATCAGAGAAATTATTAAAATACGATTCTTTTAAATGTTTTAAAACTACTATTTTTATTTTATTTTCATTTCACATTTCTTGCTTGGGTTTCTGATTTCTAAATACTATGGTAAACAGTTTAACCCATCCAAAAGAGCTTGCTTATTTAGACCCTTTTAAAATATGTGCTAAAGTAAAGAAAAACCCTATTTATTGGCTTTTAAGTTTTCAGGTCTAAGATGATCTGGGTCATTAGAAGAATCAACTAACCTTGGATAAGTTTTTAGTTACAAAAAGTTGCCCATCTTGAGAACAATGGTTCTCTAACCTTCCCATTCTGCCCTTGGTGTGATGGGAAATTCTTTAGAAGACTAGGGCAACACCTAATGCATCCTCTGAGTTTCTAGATTTATAGCTCATTGTCATTTCCTGTTTCCATTCTGTGGCAGCCACCTTTGCTGCTTGGCTTGCATTCCCAGAATGAGCACTATGTAGAAAGATCATCAAATCATCATGGACAATTTTGGGTCACATCGTGTGTATATGTACGGGGAAGAACAAGGTAGGGGACAGAAAAGTGAGGCAGCCTAATAAATCAAATAACTACAAAATCTTCCAAAAAAACAACTGAACTTTTGGTATTTTATTATAAGAAAAACAATTGAGTGACCAAAGGACAGATGGAACTCTGAAGTTTGCATAATAGGTATTTTGTCTGTATTTCCCTGGTTCCATTAGGTAACTAAACTTTTGCTATTGTGCTTTGCTATTCTTCCTACTGACATTGCTATATCCTAGCTGTCCCAAAAAAAGGTGACCTATTCTCTGGTGGTTTTACAAAAGGAAACAGGCAGAACAGCATGACTCACAATTACAATCTTTTTTTTTCCTTCATACAAGAAAATTGGCTTATGTGTGTGACTTGATAAAACATTTAATTGAGAAGAAGCCATATTAATTGCATTCAGTGAAGTAAAATGCCCCCTGAATAAGACCATTTATTGGCTAAATCACATTATACGCAGAGCTATAAGTCTGAATCATCTCATTCTAATGAAATTCACAGACTTGCCTTTCATTCATTTCAGTCTTTGTGTATCAGATCAGCTTTATGTATATCTCCACCACATGTAAAATTGTATATTTAAGTGGGTAAATAAAATTAAGTCAATTTAAATTATTTTAATTACTTAGACACACTAACTTTGGGGATTCTTTGAATTTTTTAAAATAATAATGGCAATTTTAACATTTTAGAACTTTTCATGAAAAACTTATTGACAGTAGACAAGGGTTCAAGAGTTGGATTTCCTGATATTGATCAAAAAGGGATATAGACTCTATATTACAGGAGCAGGATAATCCCTAGAGGATTTTTGTTTGTTTGTTTGTTTTATATTAAAAACTTTTTCTGCAAAATTTATTGTAAACAACATGAAAAGACAAGCCATTTCTATTTAGATATACTAGAGAACCTAGAGGTATTTTTTAAAGGTAGCGTTTGTAACCTCTGCATGATAAAAATGAGATAAAGATTTTATCTACAAAGAAGGGGTAGAAGATGCAATCCTCCATTCCCAAAACCAAGCAAAATCCTACTTTTCCATTCCTGGGATAACTTTAGGTCTCTTTGATACTGAGATTAGCTTAGCTTTGAGAGTCAGGACTTGGTGGTTGAGAAATGAATCTGAGTTTGATGTCTGCCCTAACTACTTCTGTCTGTCCCATGGTGTTGCCATTGTTTGTGTGGCTTTCACTTTGACTAAGAGTTGAGGGAGGACACCATGTCTTATTTACCATTGTGACTTCAGTACCTATAATAAAGGTCACAAGGGAGCAGCCTGTTGATCGAAGGCACAGATATACTTAGTCCTATGATGGTTACTATATGGCTTATAATATAAAATTATTTCATGAAATTTCATTTTGGAATTATTTTTAGGGAATAACTGCCTTCAGAATTTCCTCCAAGGCAGTAAAAATCTACCTTTTCTTGCTAGATTTGATTTTTGGAGGTAGAGTAATTTGAAACTAGAGTTGAGTAAATGAAGTAGTCCCTCCTGCTGGGCAATATCATTTTTAGTTTTAAATGAAGCACACCAAAGTAGATTTGTGTGTTTGTTGGGGGTATGATGGACTCTACACTCACTTTCAAAACAGGCGTGCCAAAAACATTTTGATCAGAGGTTGCATCATTGAAATTATGAGATAGTGTCCCAAAGGAACAACAATGAAGAACAAGTTAACTGAGTATATAGACTTTGATGTCACACAGTAACCTTCTACTTGGTTACTCCTATGGTGGTACCTTCTCTCCTTAAGTCTTTGAGCAAAACTTCTAGACTTTGTTTTTGTCCTGCCCTCTAAAACCTTCAGTGATGCTCATTACCTAAGAATAAATTCCCAAAGTGATAAGTTGGCATTTAAAGTCACCCAAAATTGGGCCTGAGACTACACCTCCAAGCTTATGCCTACTTTTCCTTATCCATGTAATCTATGCATCTACCAAATGGAACCAGTCATCAGGCCCCATTCAGGAGCTGTTCTTTCTTACAATGGGGAATGTCCATCCAATCCTTATCATCATATGTAATCCCAGCTTCCTCTTAAAGCCCTACTTTATATGTTAGCTGGCTTGAATTCTCTCTTTCACTTCTTCTATTATTATATCTATAAGTTTTAGGGCCCTTGTAATTTCTACCTTGTTTTATGGCTCTTATATATAGGTTTTATATACCCTATTTGACTCTATGTCATTTGAGCCCAGAAAACAAATGTCCTTGGGCGTTGACTCCTTCATGCCTCTCAGCACGGTGCCTTGCATGTAGCAGAGCCTTAATATCGGGTTGTCGGAAAAGTCATGACGTATTTTTTTCTATGTTTTTCATTGCAAAAATGCGTCATGACTTTTCCGACAACCCAATAAATACCGGGGGTATACACATTTTAAGAGATGTTATTCATGTATGACTTTTCAAAGTTGAATTGAATTACGTAGCAATGTGTAGTATGAAGTTTGCTCAAAAGATGATTAATCAAATGAATGCTAGTGTCATTCATTGTATTACTGTTTTAATACAGTTTTTTCCTCTCTTAAAATGTGTATACATTTTTTTGGCATCCTCCATTTATAGAGGTTATGAGCACATAGGAACACGTATATAAACTGATAGTAACAAATAGTTTGGGTCCTTAAGACTAAGGACTCTGTGATATTGCCTCTTCTATTTCTTTAAGAGTGTTTGAAATTTGGAAATTTTTATTCATACAAAATCTAATAGTTTTGCATGTGATTCAGTAATTCAGCATTACAGATTAAATTATTATAGAACCACGAATAATTGGGATACTCAGGAAATAGGGTATTCTGAATAATTTAATTTTCTGCTTAACTTGGAGTTGGGCAGAAAATCTGTTTTGTTTCATTTCTTGTTGAAAAATTCTTTCTAAATATGCTAATTTCTGATCTTAGGCAAAGAACGTCATTAAAATTTTCTTTGATAAATGAGGATATTAAGATGCCTTTGGATAATTTATTACATGCCTTAATTCTCATTTTACATTACCATATATGTAAAAAAAGATTTTTAAGTTTGGATTATATCGGGAAGGTTGTTTTCTTTTCACTATATTTAACCTTGGATATTATTTTTGGATGGGGATAAATGCCTGATATATATTATTATACCCTTAACATATAACAAGAGCCAGAATATGTGTTCTATTTGTCTTTATGAATGCATTCTTCACTTTCAATTTAATATTTCCACAGTCTTTTGCCACATAATTATTGGTATATTTTATTTCCATCAGATATATTATATTTATAACTTTATTAATGTGTAAATTTGTAAACTTATAATTAAGCATATAAAATAATTTTGTTATTATTTAACATTTGATTTAGGCTTTTCACTCATAACAATTTCTGTTTTTAAAATTTTCTTGAATTATATGTAGTTTCAAATTTGTAAGTTAACTGCTTTACCTCAGGCATAATTCTTTTGTCTTTGTTATTTTTTCAGAAGTTTCCGCAAGTCACAATTTTTAGACAATATTAAGATAATAATCATGAACACCAAAGACTTTGTAGTTCTTCCATGGGGAAAACCTGGACATTCGGTAAAGCTGAAATATAAGTAAGTGTATACATGTTGACTTAAATATAAATAATTGCTAAAGTTTTTGTATACTGTAATGTATCTTTTTACATAAGGTTATTTAGAGTTGAACTCAAATTTTGTCAATTCTTAGCTCCATATTCTTCAAGCTGTAGCTTAAAAAATAGTTGAAATAGTTTTAAAAAAAGGACTAAAAATATTTATGCCACAAGAATTGAAGTGAAAAGTTATAAATGGAGGTTGGGCTTACTAACTATTAAAACAATAAAACAGAAAGTTACAAATATTTTTGTGACACTTATCAAAATTAAAAGAGAATTACCCTGAAGAAACTGAAGTGTAGAGAGATTATTAGGATGAGTGACCTTTAAAAAGGGAATAGAAGGTACTAACTACCCTAACACTTGGCAGTTAGAAGATGTTATGTTGAATTTACCTTTCCCAAGGAGAGTACCTTCTGTCCTAGATTGCCTAGTGGATGCATTTAGCCAGAGCCAAGCAGTCCTGGGTATCCTGGGAATTTCATGACATGGCAGGGGTACCACAAATTTCAATATACCGCCCGCCTTTGAGATCATCCAGAGCCACTGGAAATTCCCAAGGCCTTCCTCTCAAATGTCACGAAGGGCAGCTAGCATAGGTTGGGGATAGACTGTGAATTTTTAATTCTAGTTTTTGAATCTTCTGATCCAGATCAGTAGCTCTGTGGCTATTTATTGCCTTCAGATCTTTCTTAATTCTCCCTTTACTTTTGAGAAAGTGTGTGTAAAAGCATTGTGTAAATTGGAAAATGTTATATAAATTTATGGGATTGTCATGATAAGGTGTACCATTTTTTGGTGGGGAGGGGAGCTATGCAATTGCTAGTATTACTGATTTTTCTTTTTTATGGAAAAAGAGAAGGGAACATCATTATTTGGTTTTGGTGACATGTTTCAAGTCTGTATATTACACAAGGTGTGTTCAAATAATACGACGAATGTTTAAATAAATAAAAATTATTACAGTAAAAGACACATTGTCATTAATCTCCCTCAAAATACTCCCCCTCACTTCGAACACACTTTTCCCATCATTCTTGCCACTTTCTGAAGCAGTTCTAGAAGTTCTCTTTCGTGAGTGTCTTTAGTTGCACTGTCATGGCTGCCTCAATGTCCTGAATCATTTTGACTTCGGGGAAGACCAGAAGTTGCTGATGCCAGATCTGGTGAATAAGGTGGATGAGGACACATGGTAATGTTTTTACTTGACAGAAATTACTGTATACCAGAAGCGATGTGTGACATGGAGCAATGTCACGATGGAGGATGATTTATGGTACACTTTAAAACACACCTTCTCTCAGCCATAGCTCACACCTGACTGACTGCACTGAACAAGTTCAAACTTGTCACACACTGTTACTAAGGTTCAACGTGCCACTTTCCGTATTGAAGATCCCTGCCTTTCCATTGGGTGGCACTTGACAGCAGCATTCGTCCTATTTGTTGATCACAGCAGCTCCGTGTCACACATGGCTTCTGGTATACGGTAATTTCTGTCAAATAAAAACATTACAGTGTGTCCTCATCCACCTTATTCACCAGACCTGGCACTGTGGGACTTCTGGTTCTTCCCACAAATCAAAATGACCATTAAAGGTAAACGTTTTGAAGTGACTCAAGAAAGAGAACAACCAGAACTGCTTCAGAAAGGGGCAAGAATGATGGGAAAAGTGTGTTCGAAGTGAGCAGGAGTATTTTAAGGGAGATTAATGGCAACGTGTTTTTTACTGTAATAATTTTTTTTATTTAAATATTCACTGTATTGTTTGATCACACCTTGTACTTATAAATGCTCATCCAAGAAACATTTATTAAGTACATCTTCTACATACTGTACTAGGGAATGGTGGATATAAAAGTAGGAAATCGCAGTTTTTGCCCTCAGATAGCTTGTAGAGGATGTGAATAAGTAAAATTACACTGATGATAGAGTATGAAACATGATGTGATGTGAAAGTACAGGGGACCATGAAAACATGGCCCAAACTTCTGAGGTAAGGTAAAGAGGTCTCCAAACTTTGCCTGAAAGATGCAGTTAGTCGGGTAGGCACTGGGTGAAACTTGGGCAAATGCACAAAGACCACATAGTTTGGGGCCTTTCAGACATATCCAGTTGGCTAAAGTTTATAGAACAAAGTTGGAGAGAATGGCGGGGTTGTATAGGTAATAAATTAACTTACATGCCACACTAAAGAGTTTGGAATTTGATTTGGAGATAAAGTGGAATCGCTGTTCTGTGGCCTGTATGTCCCCCTGATCCACACATGATCCACAGCCCGTAGAAACTAGGACGGTAACACCCACTCTATGGTCGTTGCTCTGGAGTCCCCTTTCGTGGCCTTTCCTTATTCCAAGCCTATTTTCATTTGACATTCTCTTATCAATTATTTTACATTTTTTGTCATTATGATGTTCTCTGATTCCTCACTACCTCTGTCCCAGCTCCCAACCCATTTCAGTGGGTGGATGTGTTGTGTTGGCATGGTCTCTACAGGGTGAACTTTAGTTTTTCTTGCCTGTCCGTCTGGCTTTGTATCCAAGGCTGTGTCCAAGAGGCATCCTTTATGTTGTGCCAGGTCCATAGAATCCCACCATAAACTTGACCACTTATCAGTAGACCAATCCATGTTTTCAATCTCACCCCTTTCCTCTATCATAGTGGGGACTTCAGAAACATTAAGGGTTTTCTAAGCAAATGAGTGACATAGTCACATGTGTGCTTTTGAACCCTTTCCCTGGAAGCCACATGGAAAGTGTTATAGGTCCTTGGGACTTTGGGCAGGGAGACCAGCTCAGGGACTAATTCTGAACTGTGTCCCCAGCCCATCCCAGAATGATCTAGTTCAGGAAATGGCATCATTGTCCTGATCTCTCGAGAAAGAAATCTGGGATTATCTTAGGTTTCTTTCTTGTCCCTTGCCTGGTCAGCCACCTATTTCTGGTCCGTCTCATACTCCAATTGATTCTATTTCCTTATTTTCTCAAAAATGCTCTCATTTTTTTCTCTCCACTGTTTCTACCTAGTCAGACCAGCATAATGTCTCTATTATTAAGATTACTGAAATAGTTTCCTAACTGGCTGCCTTGCTTTTAGCCTTATACCCTGTAATTAATTTTCCATTATACAGCCAGAGTAATCTTCCTGAAATGCAAGTCCGATCAATTCTCTTAAAACCCTTAATTCTTATTGCTCATAGAATACAGATCCCAATGTCTCACTATGGCCTTCACGGCCCTTCATTATCTTGCCACTGTCCACCTCAGCAGTTCCATTTTCTGCCACTTTTCCCATCCTGCACTTAATGCCTGGTCACACAGAACTACTAGTTCTTTGGCCCATACATCACTCTTTTCTACTTATGCACACACTTTCCTTTCTTCCTGGAACACTGATCTCACCACATCCCACAGCTTATAAAGTCTTTTTTACCCCTTAGGGCTCTGCTCAGACTTTACTTTCTCCAGGATCTGTTCCTACAGCCCCAGGGGCTGTGTCTGTGCCCTTCCTGTGTGCTTACGTACCTCCTTGTGCAGCCCCAGTGAAAATCATGTATTTCAATCACCTGCGTGCTTGTCTGTGTTCCTCACTATACTGGAAGCTCCATTGGGTCTCATGTCATACCACCTACTTGTGCTTGTACGTAGTAGGGGCTGAGTTACTCCTGTGGAGCAGATGTAATGAAAATACCGTTTTTCCCTCGATATCTTTGCCAGTTTCTCCGAACCCTCTGGACAGTCTTTGCCTCCTATCACCTTCCATATATCTCCCTAGATTGTATCCATTTTGGGACGTATCTTTGGCTCACATGCTCTTTGGTGACTGCTCACCATCTCTGTAAATTAGTTCCTGTTTCTGATCTCCCTTATTCTTATTTTGTTTCTTTGCCATAACATGCCTGGTCACCTACGCTGCATGATTGTAGTAATCCACTAATGTAATAATGAAGAAAGAGATTTAAATTTATGGTAGATACTAAAAGCTAGAGAACTAGATTGGCTTAGACCTATGAAAGAGAGCGTTAGTGACTAATGCTGAATAGAGACTAGAGTTGTAAAATGAGGAAAATGGCTTGTGTCAAAATCTTGATGATCTTCAGATATTATCAAAACTTCTTGGGCCAGCCAAGTGGCTCAGTTGGTTAAGAGCTCACTCAAGAGTGTGAGCTCTGAGCAACAGGGGTTCAAGTCCCAGCCCGAGCTGAGTTGCCAACAGGTGGCAGGATGGCTCAGCAAAAAAAAAGAAACTTTTTATATAAGAATCTATAAGTGGGCTCCGCTCTGTCCTCAAAAATGTCTCCTTCTTGCTTTCCTTCGGAGGAAATGATAGGTTGGGCTTGGCTCAGTTCTCATTTAATCCTTTTGATGGATTCTATAACAAAACGCTTAATGGATATATTTTCCCTGATAGGCCCCAAGCTGGCTCTGCTCTTTTTTGTTGTCATTGTTTATTTTTTGGATTATACATACATGACATAAAGGTAGAAATTCATTGAAGGTTTCCAAGATGATCAGTTCAGCAAAAATGTGTATTCTGCCTATACAGAAAAAAAAGTTACTTTAAACCCTGTACTTCTAACTACTTGAATCTTTAGAGGAATGAGAGTAGGCAATTAGAAAATAATTTTTCTTTTGTTTCCTATTTATGTGTCATAGATATTTGTGCATATATAAAGATATAGCCCATATATAAAGTGAATAATGATTTGAAACCTCTAGCAATGTAATAGGGAAAGCAAAAGTCTAACATCTGAAGAGATACCTTGCTTGAGGAGATGTTAATGGAAGGCACTGGCTAACTTCAGAAACCGTATTTCAAAGCAATACAAAGACGGGAAAATACTTCATCACTATTTCTTATTCATAATTTTACTTAAGAGAAAAGATGATATAAAATTATTTTGCCTTGCTTTTGTTTGTTTGTTTACCTCAAATAAATAATATGCATTTAAATCTTATTCAGAAATGCTCAAGAGCTGAGGATGGAGAAAGCCCAATTAGAGATGGAGAACCAAGAGATGGAAAAGAAACTGCAAGAGTTCCATTCAACGAGGAGCAAAGAAAAGGAAGAAAGAGTGTAGGTGACATTTTTAGACAATTTCAGAGGGATAAACCAACTTATGTCAAGAACGATTTTATATACTAAAGAACTATTTTATATACTGTTATCATTCCTATAAAGATCTGTTTCAAATGAATAATTTCTGGTTTTCCTGATGAACTAGCAATATTAAATATCCCCTACTTCTACTTGTGTTTCTCATGTAAGGTATGCTGTTTTTTAAAAAAAAATACCATTATTTTTGTTCCTTCTGAGCCTTATATATGCTCTTACATTTTCTTATTTCTTTTCTTATGTGATTCTTTTGAAACATTTATAGGACAACAATGCAGAATTTACCCTTTGCTTCCATAAAATTGCCATCAACAGGAGATTGCCAGTTTATATTTAGAGTCATTTTTATTTATTAAAAGACTTTTGAGGCAGGAGTGTGCTGTACATATATAAGAATCATTAAAACCCTCAATATGTTTGAAATATTTTTAGTAAATGAACTTTAGCTGAAATTTTATTAATGATAACTCTAATATTATGCTTGTATGTCTGGACTAATTTTACTACAAATTTGGTTTTATTATAAAAATAAATAAATATGATAAAAGTCAAATAGAAGTGGTAGTTATATAATGGGAGTATATCTCCTCTTAGCTGTACTCTGACACCCAGCACATTTTATAGCACCGGTTTTACAATTAAATGCCCCCCCCATAAATGTCTTATCTTTTAATGACTACATAGTATTTCTTTGTGTAGACATAATAACATTTATTTTTCATATCTTTTTTAAGTTTTCAGTACTTTGTAATTACATATACTGCCATGAATATGCTTCTATATATTTTTGGCATATACTGGGGGTGCCAAAAAATGTATACACATGACTTGTATTCATCTTTTGTTATCAGTATATATCGAGTATTAGAATTTTAATACAGTTTTTTCCTTTCTTAAAACGTGTATACATTTTTTTGGCACCCTGTGTATTTACAAGAGCATCTATGGGATAAATTCTTACCTGTATAATTTTTGATCAAAGTATATATATAATTTACATTTTGGTAGACATTGGAGAAAGTTTTTTTCAAATAGCCTTCAAAAGTGTGTGACTTTCTCATGTAGAGAATGAGAGTGCATGTTTCATGTGTTTTTGATAGTCTAAGTATTACCAGACTCTATATATTAAACTTGCTTTTGTTTTGTGCTCAAAGTGATGACATCAAATATCTATTAAGTACCTTCTGAACCATTAAAGAATATTCAAATACTTATTGTAGCTTCCATAGTATTTATCTTTAGAGTCTAACTTTTTGAAAACTATTCATGATGTGTACACACTCTCTCCAATAACCCAAGGATTGGTTTAATGCAGGAATCTCAATGTTGTACATTATCCCAGGTGACAGAGTTTATTGTGTATCTTGCTGCTCTTCTCTTAATGATTCAGTGGCCAGTTCTATTTCTTAACCTTCACTGCTTTGGATTTCTCAGTGGATCATGAATATGTCTGTGAATCAGAGTTTCTGAAATTAGCCCCAAGAATGAATTTTCATTAGCTCAGGAACATTTTCTAGATATTTTTAAAAATGTTCTAAAGCTTGACTAAATTTTCAGAATCGTTAAATGCTTTCCTGAGGTCACACAGATAGTAAATATCATAGCCAGAATGAGAACCTGCCACTCACTAGTTAGGAGGTTAGAGTCCAGTGTTCTCATCTTGACTTTATTATTTATTATCTGTGACCTTGCACAAGTTTTTGTCTCATTATTTTTTAAATAAGAGTTGGACTCACTGCCCTGTTTGACTTAAAAGAATTTTGTGAAGCTCCAATAAAAGTGCTTTGAAAACTAAATTATAAAACTAAACAGTTTGCCTTCTCTGCAATCCCTGTTATCTTTCAATAGGGGCTCATTTGAAATCTTAATAAGGAATTGATCACTTAGTAGATCTGCTGAATGTTCGTGTTTTGCTTCTTTTTCCTCTTTACATTTGTGGACCCTCAGCTTTTAACGCTTATGACAGTCTTTAAAATTTCTATATATTCATGAAGCTGTCTTTAGGCATTATAAATGTCTCAAAAATGGGAATTCTTCATCTCTTTGGACATTTCACTTTTATTCATTTTGTCTCAAAAATTCCAACTACGATAGAGCTATATTTTAAAATTACTGAGGATATTGTGGCATTATTGACATTTTATTTTCATTTTGTGGTGATCTGTTTACATGTTAACAACTGAATTTTTATTTCCTGAAACAGGGAAAATATATTTGTTTTCATTAAAAGTAGATGTGTATTTAGTAATTACATTTTGTCTTCCGTTTATTTGTATTTGAAGGTCAAGTGGCTATCACTGGAAATCTGGAAAAGTGGGCAAATTGGGTAATCAATCACATATAATGTCACAAAATAAAGGAAATGTTATTAAGGTAAGGAAATACTATTTGATTCTCAGGCAATTTGCTAAGCAAGAAGATATAAATTATTTTTTCAGATCTAGCATTCCGTTCCATACTTATGAATTTACTATTCTTGTTTTAACAACTTTGTATATTAGTGTATTTTGATTAAACTTACATTTTTATAGGTTATATACAACCTTCATTATTCAGATATGTTTTTTGTTTTTCATCTGCAAGTTGATTTTTAGAAATTCACCTTGAGTTGAATTTTTCTAAACCATTTTTTTCCATTCAGTTCTGGTTTCAAGTGTGTAAAATAGAACTATGTAGTTCTATATTAAAGTGGAAACTATTATTTCATATACCAGAGGACAGACTTTTTTCTGTCTTTTGATTATATCACATTGGTTCAACGTGTTTGTGTTCTGCTTGAATAATGATTATTATTCATATACTATTGTTTCTATGTGGAAAAATATCCAAGGAAAGAATTCTTACAGGTTTCCAGCTATAGAATTGGTTTATCCTTACTATGTATGTATCATTACATTATATGTGTGATTAAAACCAGATTAACTGTATTTCTGTAAAGAAAACTGTTTTGCTTCTGGATTCTTTAGTACAAGGTCCGTGACTTTGTAAGTTTTAACTTATATACCTTTTTCTTTTTTATATAGCTGTCATTAAACTTTCATTGGGCAGTTGGCATCTATAAACATCTTACAGTGCTTCTAAACTTTTTGGCTTTGAAAAAACATTTTATTCTGTAGTGTCATTCTCTTATTGAAATATGTTTTTTTAAATTTTTTGGATTAAAAGTTTTATAATTTGCTTTGCATTATTTATTACTTCCTGAGATAGTGTTCCATGTTTCAGATGTTATTGTAAATATATAAAAAATGCTAACTGTGATTATTGACTTATTTTTAAATAGCATTTATTAAGTGCCTTCTTGCTTGTATAAAAAATTATCCTTATTCTCAAGGAGATCATCATATAATGTGGAAGATGATACACATATAAAAATATTTATAGAAAAAGTCAGTGTGTAATTTTTGCCATAACTATTCAGTGTACAAACCATCTGTGCTTGGAAAATAATAGTTTAGTTCTACAAATATTTGAAAGTCTACTAGGTGTACTTGTAAGAAAAAAGTGATGAATATGTCATAATGCCAGTCCCACAACCTCATAATTGAGTAAGAGGGTGAAAACTTGGAGGGTCAGGTTGCTGTTGAAGGGGGGTATAGAAGGTGAGCTAGGGCAGGAGGGAGGGCCTTGAATACCAGACTCAGGAGTCTTAAAGTTTTCATTAGGTGAATGGAATTCCCTGACAGCTTTGGAGCAAAAGGGTAGCAAGCCAAGGTGATAATATATGATGGTTGATTTGTTCAAATATCCAGTGCATTTGGAGTTAATAAATGCAGAGAAAATGACATTTAAACTGTTTTGATCATGCATCATATCAATAAATTTGAGCATGGACTTTCTACCCATGAACTCTTTATTTATTTATAGATAAAATGTGTATATATATTTGTGTGTGTGTGTGTGTGTGTGTGTGTGTGTGTGTGTGTATATATATATATATATATACACACACGCACACAAACCCCCCCACTGTTTTTACTAATATATAATACAAGTGTGTGTGCATATATATATATATATATATACACACACATATATATATACACTTGTTTACTAATATTGTAAATCAAAATATGGAGATTAATCAAGGACAGTATAAACATCAATAGATGTTTCTTTTCTACTCTCTGGTCTTTTCCTGAGCTCCTTCAGGCATGCACACATGCTACTTTGGAGGCCACTGATATAGATGCAGAGAGACTATTTCAAAGACTATTAAAATAATCTTAGAGGTCAGATGAGAAGGCTCTGAATTAGAATGTAGCTGAAGAAGAAATATAAAGAAAAATATGGAACCAAAACACAGTGAGAAAGGAAAGGAAGAAGTCAAATATATAACTAATATTTCAGGCCACATTGACTAGGAGATAGAATAAAGAAGGAAGTCAGACAAAAAGTTCTGGGGTATAGATTTAGCCCTTCCTTCCTTCCTTCTTTCCTTCCTTCCTTCCTTCCTTCCTTCCTTCCTTCCTTCCTTCCTTCCTTCCTTCCTTCCTTCCTTCCCTCCCTCCCTCTTTTCTTCCTTCCTTTCTTTTTCTTCTCCCCAGCTTTATTGAGGCATAACTGACAAATAAAATTATAAGATTTAAAAAATATACCACTTGATGATTTGATATATCCTACATTGTGAAAGATATTCCACATCGAGTTAACACAGCCATCATCTCACATATTCCTTTTTGTGTACGTGAGAACATTTAAGTTCTACCCTCTTAGCAAATTTCAAAGATTTAGAGTTTTATTTGAATATTCATGTGTTTAGTTGAAGCTGGGAATGTAAATGTGCTTCCTAAGAATTTATAAAAAAGAGAAGAAAGGTGTAAAGGATAAAGCTCAGGAAGGGCAGGTGTGAAGGGCGAAGCTCAAGGAATATGGAGGCAGAGAACTTAATATTTACTCACTGTTTTATTCCAGGCAACAGTTTAGCTGCTTTTCCTATTTTATCCCATTAAGTGTTTGTATCACCCTTAAAAGGCAGTTGTAATTTTTCCAGTTCCACAGATGAAGTATTTGGTTGTCGGAAAAGTCATGACGTATTTTTTCTGTTTTTCATTGCAAAAATGCTTCATGACTTTCCTGACAACCCAATAATTTATACATCAATTAAGTTTAACTTTCTCAAAGTCAAGTGTCAGGGCCAAGATTTGGAATGCAAGCTTTCAGGCTGGTTCTAAAGTAATTAACTTGCCAGCTCGGTAGTATAGGGAGTCTGAGAAGAGAAAGAATGGTAGGAATATAATCAAAGTAATGTAATTTTATAGAAGACAAAAGTAAAGGAGTGTGTTTTTAGCAAATATGGAGAAGTCATCATTGTCCAATACATTGTGCAATGGAAAAAGTTTTGAATGCATTTTTCCTCCCAGGAGACATTTGTCAATATTTGAAGACATTGTTAGTTATTACCACTGATAGCTAAGGGGTTTTTGTTTGTTTGTTTGTTTGTTTGTTTTGTTTTATTTTTGCTAATGGTATGTTATGGCTATAGGGCATGGGTGCTGTTATACATCTTACAATGCACTGGGCAGCTCTCACAACAAAGAATTATCTAGGCCAAGATTAAGAAACTCTGTGTCAGACTTTGTAGATTAAATTCCTCACTCATTTCATTAACTCTGTGATTTTAGGCAAGTCATTTAACCATTCTAAGTTTCTGTTACCATGTTTGTAAACATGCATAAGAATACTTGCTAACTGCTTCACAGAGTTTTGAGCAATGTGTGAGATAATATGTGTGAAACCAATTGTAACATTAACTGAAAATCACATTAGAATGTCTGTTTATGGAGAATGAGACTTTCTGGAAACACTGAATTTGATTTGGTGATTAGATTGTTATTAGATGCTAACATATTTTCAAGTGGTTGAAAAAGAAAGGTGGGTGGCAATGAGTAAAGACTAATGTTTCAGTGACCATGAGAACAGAGGGTGACGTCTCAACGGTTTAACAGGATCAAGGAAGGACTTCATTTTATTGTCTTTTAGAGTCAGGGAGGAAACATGGGTCAGTTTGTAGCTGAGGGATGGACTCACCTAGTGGAAGAAAGATTGAAGATGTAAATGAGAGAGGAGCCAGTTGCTGGGGTCTAGTCTTAGGAGAGGGCACATTTTCTCTGAGATAAGAAAGAAGGAAGAGGAAACAGGTGGCAGTAAAGGGAAATTTTTAGAGGTTTCATTTGATAGCAGGTGAGGTAGGAAGCTGTGGAAAACTCTTAATGGGAAGATCTCAACATTCTTAGTAAAGTTGAAGGTAAGATCATCTGCTCAGATTAAGAAAGGGAAATGGGATGAATTTGATATTTTTGGAATGGAGAAGGTTTGGAGTAGCCACTATGGCAATCATGATTGAGGTTTAGCAGCAAATGATACATGGATTGCTGAAGAGCCGTATGAGTCCACGGAAGTTGTTCAGCATGAATTGGTAGTGGACCCAGTCAGTGTTATTTCCTCACAATGGTGGGTAGCTGTGGGCATTCTAAGAGGAAGGAAGTGAGGTGATCATGGGTAGCACTGAGAAACCCTTGAGTTTGGGACTTTAAAGGTGTGGCCATTCAGATTGCTGCTTAGGTTCAATGTTTTGTCATAATGGTCAGGTGGCTGATGAGGCATTTAGATGGTCATGGCTGTCAGTATGTTGGAGGGTTTCTCAGCATCAGCATGTCAGGTGAACATGGACATTGACGTCTCCACCATCATCACCCAGAAATGTGATAGAGACGCTGGGCAGATTCCTGAAGTTCAGGTTGAAAAGGACCCTGGATATTGATAAAGGCAGTAAGTAGATGGTGAGGACCTTTAGTAAAGGAAACTGCTGAGTGATGAGAGCAGAACAGTATTCTGGAAGCAGCACTGAGGAGCAAACAGGGAGAAACATTTCTTCTCTCTGGTGAGTGAAAGGGAGTAGAAACGGAGCTTGTTCCTCTGGAAAGTTCTGTGGAGGAGGCTGTGTCTGAGGATAGGTGGGTCCAGTTCATGTGAACTTTTTGGAAGAGTCATTTTGAGGAAATATTTAAGGCATAAGGTAGCTAAATGACTATTTAATAAGAGCTCTGTGAAATGGCAGGGGAGCCTGGCTGGCAGGACAAGCAGTAGAAAATGGCAAAGGGTAAGTAGCTAATTGGGTTAAGAAAGAGAATACTTAAAAAGGTCGCTTATGGGAGAAGTGTGGGCCCAGCATGCCGTATGAGGGCATTGGTGGGAGTTTGGGGACATCTGTGAATGCCAGAAAGGCTGTTATTGACAGCATAGTCTGACCCCAGTGACCCAGATGATATATGTCTGTGTGGTAGCGCCACTAAGCTGTCCTGACCCGTGATGGTACCCCTTTAGTAACTACTGGTGGAGGTATAAGTGGTATAAAGTACAGACTTCAGTATTTTGAATAACTGATGTTTGGATCTACATACGTATGCATATACATGTATCCATATATATGTACATGTATTCGTATACACATATGGTTATGTGTGTGTGTGTGTGTGTGTGTGTGTGTGTGTGTATGTGGCCTTTGTCCAGCCCTACTCCACCCTCAGCTCTTTCCCAGATAAAAATTAGACTTAGGAGGAAATTCTACTTGCCTAAAAATAGCAGCTAGCAGTTTATTCACTGAAATATTTTTATGTGGTTTGAATCATTTGAGGTAAATACAACTCTATTCATGGAACAGAAAAATACTCTTCACAATAATAAATACAAATTATAAAAATTCCCTAATAATAATGGGTTCAGTTCGCTTTGGCAAATCCATTCTGCCCAGGTAGCCTATAATCACATTGATTTTGTTGCAGTTCAGGTGTATTGTTAAGGTAATAATATTGGATAATTTGGTTATGACACATGAAATTAAGTTATCAGTAGCTTGTATAACATTGCCAGTTTAAAAATAAAAGTGTGATTCACTGAACATTGATGATTTCAACCCTGTTTTCTTTTTTTGTGTGTTTGGTGCATATAACATTTGAGTAGCTACTTAATGTGAACAACAAATGCCCCTTTGAAGCAAAACCACTAGAGTCACTGAGAATAATTAGGGCTAAATTTTCAGATGAGTGCAATTGGTGCAGCCATAGACATAGAGGCAGCCATTGTTTTCATATTCTCGTGTACAAACCGGGCAATTGAGCATGCAAACTGCAAATTGAAAACCCGGCATGAATTGACAGGGTCTGTGTAAATGTGCTCCATCCTCCAAGCTCGTTTGTGTACTGTGAATGTTGGTTTTAATAAGACCAAGCCAAGTATGTGCAATTGGCAAGTCTTTTATTTCTTAAAATCTTAAGATTCAAGGATTTTAAGTGATTATCTGAAATACCTAGCAGTGAGTCTTATTTACTCAGTTTTTGTTTGTTCAGTTTTTTTTTTTTTGTCTACAACTTGGGAAAGTCAGAGATCACAAATAATGTATTTGAAGGTTAAGTCTATGATACTTAAACGCCTGGTTCTCTAAATTGGACAAATAAGATAATAATATTGGTGTCTACAGTTATGTAAGCAGAGTAGCTCAGTCAGCATTCAGTTTAGATTCAATCTACACAAATATTAGGCTTTGCATCTTTCAGAAAGATCAGAGATAGAAAAGCCTTTACAGTATTTTAAGAATAGTGCTTCCCTAAAATCATTTCATGATGACATATAAAGATTTTTGTTTAAAAAATAATTTATGGCATGTTTAAAAACTGGTTTTTTTTGTGTTTTTTTTTTTAAGCTGAGCCATCCTGCCACCTGTTGGCAGCTCAGCTCAGGAATCGAACCACTGTTGCTCAGAGCTCAAACTCTTGAGCGAGCTCTTAACCAACTGAGCCACTCGGCCAGCCCTTAAGAACTGGTTTTTATATAGAGTTCCCAAATGTATTTTCTTTTTATGAATTTCCTCTTAATTTAATTAGAAAATCTATATATGCTTTAATGATGACCTTTTCTATATATTTTATATTATTCTTTCAAAATGTTTGTTTTGTTCAAGATGCACCAAAATGTTACAGCTTTCTTATATTTTTGTTAATAACTTAAACTATCTTTGAATAATAAAATGTATACCTGACAAATAGTATCTATTTCATTAATACAGTTTTCTGCTGGAAAAGTAAAATTAAAATTACTGAAGGAGCAGTTTCAAGGTAAATAGTTTACCACTCTATTATTAGATGCTATATATATAATTTTTCTTTCCAACTGAATTACATAAAAATTAAAGAGCTAGAATTGTTCATGCAATATACAAATTCTAAACCCCAAATTATGTCTCTTTATCTTTGGTATTTAAAATACATTTCATTTATGTATTTTTATGGGGGAGGGACCTTAATTTTATGTCAAAAATGTCAACTTAGAATATGATTATAATATAGCATTTTTTAAAAGTGAGGACTTTCCTTAAAATTTGTTGATACACTCTTTTAACCAGGGAGATCATTTCGCAGTATAAAATTATAATTTGAAATTTTACTCTAGGAAATTAAAAGAATATTGAAAAATTCCATTATATTTTAAAACATCTTGACAAAAGCAAAAACCATAATCAATTTTTAATTTGTAATAACTTCAAAGAAATAAGAATTTTTAATAGAGGATAAACATTTGATTGGAATGGTTAAGGTAATTTGGTAGAACAAGTTCTAAATATATATATATATATATATATATTTATATACATACACACATAGATGACATATATATGACATACATATATATGACATTTATATATAAATAACATTATATATGTATATAACATTTATTATAGGCGATGTTCTGTGTAGGCTTCGGTTTGATCTAGAGATGGGACAGAATGCCATAGGAATTCTGTCAAGAGTATAGTTTTTAACTGTTACATTTTGTAATTGTATATGTCTAGTTCCAAGAGTGCATATGAGTGGATATGTGTGGCCCTGTGGTGACAAGGGGCGGAGGGGGACCGTGGGCTCCCCAGCCTACTGGGAGGATTAGACTTGGCTACATGCCATTGTTATCGGGCAACTAACATTTAAATATTATTTTAGAATTTAGAACTATGCATAATTTCATTACTTTATCAATCACAAAACCAAGCCTCGTATTTTAAAGTGATTAGTCTGACTTGTTTTTTTTCTTCCAGAGACAGTGAGACAACCACTTAATTATAAAATGACCAATTCCTCCGGAAATGAAAAACCCAAGATAAAAGGGAAGGTTTGTGGACAGTGTGAGAACAAAGCTGCGCTGCTCGTACGTACTCGATAATTGGGGTAGAACTTTCACGTGGCCTTTGCCACCTCTCCCAACCTAACCTGCTTTAGTAGCCGTATCCTTGTCCTCTGTGACTGTTACTGAGGGTGACGTGTACGTGCCACTGGGGAAGGCCAGCGACACACTGAGTCTCTTCCTGTTCAACATCACACCTTAACTCTTATCTTCTCTGTCTTAGATCGCCAGCACACAAACAGCTTGCAGTATCTTCCATCTAAAACCCAAACCAAAACTACAGCAAACGTTCTCCTTGGACTCCCACATCACCCTCTGTATCTCTTGCTAACACTTCTGAAGAGTTGGCTCTCTTGCTGTCATTATATTTTCTCCTCTCGTGCTCCATCTCTCTCTCTCTCTCTTTTATTGAGGAATAATTTACTTACTGTGAAGTGGACAGATCTTAAATATACAATTAGATGCCTTTTGAAAAATGTCTGTACCCCCGTTATGATCATAGAATGTGCTGAGAAGTTCCCTGGTGCCGTTTCCACTTAATCCCCACCACACAGACAACTACTGTTCTGATTTTTAGCACCATCCATGTAGTGGTGCCTATTCTTGAACTTAATGTATTATAAATGAAACTGTGTGGTATATATTCTTTTTTGTAAGATTTTTTTTGCTCCATGTAGAGATTGATTCATGTTACATTTATCATTGGTTGTTCATTTGTGTTACTGAGTAGTATTCCATTGTATAGATATACCAGAATGTTTTTATTCATTCACATGTTGAACGACTTTTAGTTGTTTCAGTATTTTTTTTCTATTATATTTAAGGTTGTTTTGGACATTTTAGTGCAAATACATCATAATTTAAGAGTTACCATCTTAGTCATTTTAAGTGTACAGTTCAGTGGCATTAAGTACATTCACATTGTTGTGCGACCATCATCACCATCCATCCACAGAACTCTTTTCAACAGAAAATTGTCCTCATTAAATAATAACTCCACATACCCCCTTCCCTCAGCCCCTGCCAACCACCATTCGATTTTCTGTCTCTATGAATTTGACAATTCTAGGTGTCTCATATAAGTAGAATCATGTAGTATTTCTTCTTTAGTCACCATTTAGTATTGCCCTTATTTCACTTAGCATAATACCTTCAAGGTTTATTCATGATGTAGATTATATCAGAATTTCTTTCTTTTTTTAAGACTGAATTATATTCCATTGTATGTAATTTCCACATTTTGTTTATCCATTGTCCATTGATGGACACCCTTTGGCTATTGTGAGTAATGCTTCTGTGAACTTGGGTGTACAAATATCTATCCAAGTTCTTACTTTCAGTTACTAGGGGTACGTACCCAGAAGTGGAATCGCTAAATTCCCATTCTCTCTTGAAACCCCTCCATTCAGAAATTGGTCTCCATGACTGTCCAGCAACTGCTCCTATCAAGGTCACCAGTGACTTCCACATTCTTAAATGCAGTGGTCAAGTCTCAGTTCTTATCTTAATCTATCAGTAATATTTGACATAGTATCCCTCTCTTCTTCTTTGATTCTTCATTTGGCTTCCTCTGAAACTTCATTCTGCCTTGGTTTTGTTTTACTTTGTCTGCTGTCCCTTCTCAATCTTCTTTGTTGGTTTTCTGTAATCTTGACCCATTAACATTGGAATGCCACAGAGCTCAGTTCTTAGGTTTCCTCTTTAATCTATTTACTTACTCTTTAGGTAATTTTGTTCACTCTCTTGGCTTTAAAGACCATCTCTACTTGGATGGTTTCCAGATTTACATGTCAAACCCATATCTCTTCCCTGAACTGTGAACTCAGACTGCCTAGTCAATACCACTACTTGCCTATCTAACAGGAATCACTAACTGACCATGTTCAAAATTGAACCATAATTTATCTCTAACAAATCCCTCCCCCCCCACAGTTCCGTCATATCAATAAAGGTCAACTCAAATGTTACATACCCTGACAGTTCTATAAAATAGCAACAGCTTAGCTGCACTCTCCAATTTCGTGAAGCTGCTGCATTCATCTACATAGCAGTTATCACCCTTTAATATATGTGTGTGTGTGTGTGTGTGTGTGTGTGTGTTTTCCATCTACCTATAATGTAAACTTCATGAGAGTGGGGATTTTGTTGGGTTCACTGCTCTGTGCCCACCACCTAGAATTATGCCTGCAATTTAGTAGTTACTTAACAAATATTCGTTGAATGAATCATTTCTTTAAAATTTTTCTGTAATATAGACTTTAGACATACCTTCCTTTCAGCTAGTATTGAAGAGACTCCAATATCCTTTGTAATTTAAAATATTTAAAGCACACTTAGGAAACAGTATCCCCCCCCCAAAATTCAATGATTATAACTAATGATTATTGTAGATTATGTTATAGTTTCAGAGAACATAGCCGTAATCACTTCTGACTTAAGACTATATTACTAGCCTTATTTCATGGTACTTTTAACTGGGCTCAAGGAGTTAGAACGCTATAAATCTAATGAAGAGCTAATAACAGTATTAAATGAAAAACCCTGGCTGTTGGAATAATGCCCTTACTATTACATCATACTATTATCTTATTTGATATAATGGTGAACACAATTTAAGGAATTTTAGCCAATTATATTTACCTGGAAATGTTTAAAAATATAAACAAATGCTAATGTTCCTGAAGTTGGAATTATGAAAACTAAAGGGGACTTACTTGTTGAATTGAATTGTGGAGGCCCACTGTTCATGATCTGAAAAAGGATTTATGTAGTAGCTGAGACAATGTTTCTATTGAATCCTATTCTGTGTTGAGCCCTTTTTAAAGGCCATGGAGTTTGAACAAGTGATATGCAATAGATAAGACTTAACCTGGAATATAAGGATCTGTTTTTCCTTAGAGTAGGAAATGCAAGGAAAGGACATCCCAGACAGGATAAACAGCCTTTGCCTTTCCTGGAAAGCAGAGTAGTGACATGCACAGTAATCAAAAAGCTGATTTACCTGAAAACTGATGCATATGGAAGCCAAGATTTAGGCCCTAAACATACTTAAACATTTTGTTAAGATTTTAAGAAAGGCTATTCTTTGATTTCAAATGAAAATAATGTTTTATGATACTTGTCAAAGCACAATAGTAAGTTATTTAAAAATTCAAGCTAGGCAGATCTAATGAAGCAGACTGTGGTGGCGTTGAAGTGTTTTTAACTTCCATCGTTCCAGATGATAATGCTGATTGGATAATTAGAGTTAGGCTTTCTATGTTTTATGATAGGGTCTTTAGGAGGGAAAAATTGTGTATTGGGGTAGGGGTTAAGAGCTTTTGTTTTGGGGATTTGAATCTCAACTTTACCTGTTATTAACTATGTGACTTTCAGCAAATGACTTTATTCCTTCCTATTTCTGTTTTCTCATTTGTAAAATGGAATAATGTGGATAACAGTAGTCTACGCCTCAAAGTTATTGAGGATAATTGAGGATAATGCATATGAATTATTTATCATTGTGCTTGGTGTATTGAGAGGAGACAATAAATTGTGTATTTTTGTTGTTGGCACATTTTTTTTTTAGGTCTTGATGTATTCACATATATTGATGGTAAAAATAAAGTTTCAAACTTACAAATTCCTGTTTTTTTCTCTCAAATTTCTTAGTTTTTAAAGAAATTACAAATAGCTTTAGGCTGTCTCTACATGGCAAAAGTGAAATGAATAGTTAAAAATTATACATTAATATGGCAAATGTGGATAACGTAACTCAAGTGGATTCTGAAGGTTTAGTACAACTGATTTAGCCTTGATCAAATTAAGAAGAAGTATCTGTGGTGGACTGGAATCCTTATCTGTGTTTTAGTATGTTCCTGCCAGTTATACAAACTGCCTAAAAAGATTTTCCACTTGGCGGTCATTTTAACCCAATTTAAATCCAAATATGCTTGTATAACAAAATATATAAGCTTACTCTGCAACTCCAGCTTTGATCTTACAGTCTACAAAGTCTATTTGGCTACTTCCATTAAAAGTCTGTTGTTAACCAATACTTGGCTTAGAATTATATGCTGAAACTGATTTTCAGTCCTCTATATTACATTGTGAAAACATTGCCAAATATTTATAAGAAATTTATTAAAATATTAACTGATATATAAAATAAAAATTATGTAGAATACATTTTGAAATCTACATTAATACAGTAATACTACCATATATATGTGAAATTATAGCTTTTTAATTGATTTTGCACTTGAAAAATTATGGATTTAGATAATATGTTTATCACCATTTCTCTAAGATAATGTAATTCTTTTTTCTTAAGTTCTTTATGCTTTTTAGATATGTATCTAATTTTTTTTCAATTTTATTGTTAGTTTCAGGTGTACAGAATAATGCAATAGTTATCCTTTTCACCCTCACAAAGTAACAACCCCCCTCCCCCATCTACTGCCCTCCCACCCCCGATATCATGCTTATCTATTA